GCTAATAAGACAGGTTTCACATTGCAACATCAGCTTCCTATCTACATAGCCAACTGCTGAAACGCGGCAAGATGCACGTGCAGCGCTAACACTAACAGCACTAACTACGTGTTGTCAGTGAAACATACGAGCCATGAAATGGTTTGGGTGGGAAAGGACCTTAGAGATCATCTCGTTCCATCCCCTGCCACGGGCAGGGACATCTTCCACCAGATCGGGTTGTTCAAAGTCCCACCCGACCCTCAACACTTCCAAGGAAGGGGCAGCCACAGCTTCTGTTTCAGTGCCTCATCACCCTCACAGGGAATAATTTCTTCCTTCTGTATTTAATCTAAACCTACTCACTTTCACTTTGAACCCTTTCCCTCCCTTGTCCGTCACTACATACTCTTGCAAAAAGTTTTGCCCCATCGTTCCTGTAAGTTACCCTCAGGTTCTGGAAGGCCCCATTTAGCTTAACCCACATCCTTCTGTTTTTCAGACTAAACAATCCAAATTCTCTCAGCCTTTCCTCACAGGACAAGTCCATCCCTGTGCCCGCAGGCAGCAGAGCCATACGGACATGTACAACCTGAGCTCTGCCCCGCATCCCAGCCGCTGAAGCCCGGGGCTACCCGCGCCCTCGTCGGCCCCCGCAGGCGCTGAACGGGAGCGAGCGGTTCGTCCTCCGCCGCGTACGCGGGGACGGGCGAAGCCGGCGGGAAGCCCGGCCCGCTCCTCGGCGCCCGCGCTCCGGCTGCCCTCACCGGTCGGCCAGCAGCCGCTCCTGCCGCCTCAGCATCTCGCGGAGCTCGGGCAGCGCCCGCCCGCGCAGCCCCGGAGCCGCCGCCATGGGCACCCGGCAGCGCCCTGCGGGCCGCCATCTTGCCGGAAGCGACGGCGCGGCGGCAGGGCCCGAATTGCTCGGAACGCGAAGGGCGGCGCGGAGCCCGCGCCCCGCCGGCCGAGCGGGCCGGGACAGCCCTGAGGGAGGCCGGGGTGCGGGACCGGGGGCCGCTCACCCCGCGCTGGGGACTCGCCTTCATCGCACGGGAATTGCAACGACAGCTGGGAGAGCTGCGGTTTGTGCCCTGTACGGCACGGGGGACACGTGCGGAGCAGCGCTGAAAGGCTGTGGGTTTGAGTTTGAGAGCAATTTGATACCTTTTGTTTTGGGTCAGCACTATAGCAGACTCCGACCTTTCCCCCTCCTCAGAGACCAGTCTGGTATTCTGTCTAAGTTTTTCGACATATTTTGTCTGTGGAAATTATTAAGCAAAATGTGAAAACAACTTTTTTTCTCTCAAAATTTCTGCTATCATTTTTGGCCAATGCATAACTTTAAAATCCAGGGGGTTCATCTTTCCTTCCCTATGTTATGCTACATAGTTACAGGACACAAGTTCTTTGAATTGCTGCCTCTGTTATGCAGGTTAAATCATGCATCTATATCACATTTCTGCATCTTGCAAGAAGGAGCACTTGATCCTGCAGATAGGAGAGAGTGGGAATACTGGGCATGGAAACTGCTGCTGCCAGCAGGGAAATGAAAATCTAGAAGGAATAATCTTATTAGAGCACTGCTCTCACAAAATGTTCAGCTGCTTTATGACATGTACAGAAAAGCAATGCCAATACTTAGAGTGGGTTCAAATTACGTGCTAAACTGCATAAACAAAAAAGTAGAGCAAAAGATGAAGAGAATAAAGTGTTAATAACATGGCTTCTGGGAATCACAACTGATCATTGTGCACCTCACTTGGAATACTTTACACTAAGTCTGTATTTGTCCACGTTTGCTGGGAAGGAATACTGTTCATCTTTACAGTTCAGGAGTGTTAAATTTAGGAATAACATTGTCTGTTTACAGGTAACCCACAGTTCGAGAATGATGAACAAGTAGCTGAAATTTGGAAGGTGGTGGAACAAATATATTCTTGGTTATGAACAGGTGGGCAATACCTAGATACAATGCAACTGAGACAGCATCAACTTCGGTACAAATTTGAAGAAGGAAATACAGATTTCATATTATTTCATACAAGAAAAGTTGTTTTCTGCTTTCTTCAACTTTATAAAATGTTACTTCTTTTCACTAGGAAAAGGAGCAAAAGAAACTTTAGATTGTAGTTTTTGAGCGGGGGGGGAACTACCTTTCCAGTTTCTCTGCTCAGAAATATTGAGGAGCAGGAAGAGAGGAAACAAGCTACACATACAATGTAAATCACCCCCAAAATAACAAAAAGAAAATTGTATGAGTATTTGGAATTTAAGTGAATAATTTTTATTTCATTTAGGAAAAAAATCGTTTCTTATCAGCATGATGCACCTTTGTAATAATTCATTTTATTTTCCTTAAAAGAAACCACCTCCTCCCTTTAACATTATTTCTCAAAAAAAAGTCCCAAACACTTTTAAAGCAAATCTATATGTATTTATACCTATCAACATACTGGGAAGGAACCATCAGATCATTGCATTGCCAACATACCATATGCCTTTACAGAATATACAGATGTTCACTTCTATGTATTTTCTCTTTAAATCACCAAGTCCCTTTTTCTTTTGAAAATATTCACATACCTTGAGTTGTAAATGGCTCCTGTGTCCTTCTTTTCTTGTGTTCCTTCCAAGATGTGCTTGAGGGAGGGCTGGAAGGGCCTTAACTCAGGTCTCTTGTGCACTTTTGTTCTTTTACACATGCAGATAGCCCCAGGGGCTGAACAGGAATAAAGTAAAATGTAAGTGGATTGAAACTCTCAGCGTGTACATCTCCATTCTGTGGAGCAGGGATTTCCTGTGCAGAATTACAGACTTAATGCACAGAAAACTTGCTTCTCATCTGTCCATATGCAGAAGTTTTCAGATGTCAAATATTTAAAGCTCTCTCAAAAGCATCTGTATCCAGCTCCCAGAATCCCATGTTGTAGGTTCAGCATCAAGCACTGCCGATCTCAACAAGATTTTATCAGGGCTTGTTGGCAATCTGAGCTGAATACACATAAATAGGGAAGCATTATTTGAGTTAAAAACTTGACATTCTTCCTCTGAGCATTACAAACCTGTGACACTGTGATTGTCATGTTTGCACAACCTCTTTAGTTGACACATAGATTGCTTTATTTTTATAGTCTTAAAAATAAATCTCTGTTATCAGTAAGTGGATATAAACTGTAAGTAAAGATGGACCACAGCCATCCCAGTCTCATCCTGCTGAATCCTGGAGAGCATCATCCCAGATGGATTCAGATGTTATCTGAGGGATCTGAAGCTGTTGGGTTTTTTTCCAAGAGCTGTGCTGCCCAGTTTTTGTTTATTCTGTACAAGTCAATAGTTTTTTATTTCATGAAAGAGTTTATCTACTTTTGTGACTTGGCTTTGGGAAAGTCTTTAGCCAGGGAGTGCCTTCCTGTTCTCAAGAGCCCGTCTGCCAAAGGAAACACTGACGAGAACACCGAGGCTCCGCAAGAGCTGCTTCCCATTCCCACGTGTTTGGAACAAACAAGGTTGTGAACAGTAAGTCTGCAATGTTTTAAGGTAGGTTTATTTCTAAAAGACTGTTGACACAACAACAACAAGTTTAAATACAGTGTTTATTGCAATTTATCCTCTTCACCTCTTACATACCGGATGTATTAAAAGCAAACAATGTAATACATTATTTGTACAGCATATATGAAAAGTGTATCCCAAAATACTTTCCAGAGTATCCGGAATAAATCACAAAAGAATACTTATCATGGTACAAATGCAGTCATACAATTGACTTGCATTTAGTGTACTTTCTGGGACCTTCCTATATGGCTTTTATTGCTGTTTACAGAAATTGTACTAGTTTCTAATGTGATAGTATTAATTAACTCAGTCTCAAATTGAGAAAATTTATACAGAAGTCTTTTCAGTCAGGTTTGTTATTACCTATGCTAATTTACTGCTCATTTGACTGGAAAGCTCTAAATTTTCATGTAACACAATGATATAAATACAGTTCCTCTCCTATTCTTCACAGTTACCAAATTTGAACCAGTAGTCAAATCAAGTGATGGTCATCCAGCTCACTGCATGTCTAAATGCTCTTAAAAGACAGCTTCGACTTCAGTCCTTATTTGCTTTAGAAAAAAATACTATATTTCATCAAACAGTCAAGACAAAATTTACAGAACACCTTTACAGTAAAAACTTAAGGCCTTGCTGCATTCCTGCTAAAGTCTTGAGCAGATAATGTTACAAGTCTCAGAGTTAAAATAGCTTGCAGCATTTTCAGGAGATCCTCAGGAGTATATTAAAAGTAGAATGAACTTCCTTTGAGTCTGTGTCAAAACAGCATTTTGGTAATTACCCTGCCCTCTACTACCATTCCTTAAGCACCTCACAGTCATCAGGTTCTGTTTTCTGAATTCTGGCCAAAATCAGAGGGGGTAAAGGATTTACACTTTTTAAAACTTGTCAGTTAATGTCTTTTACAACAATATGCATCTCCTTTTATCTAAAAATACCACCTTCATCCGTTCATCTTAAGTTTGAAGTTAATTTTCACAAACCATGGTTCAGAATTCAAGTCCTGAATCACAGAGGGACTGTTTGGGCACAGAAATGCTAAACGACATTCTGTGAGACCTCAAGTTGTGTCCCTAATAGACATTAATATACCTGCTGGGATTCGCTTTTAGTGTCTTTCTCTTCAAAAACAGATAGTGTCCAAATATTTGCTGTTATCAGCCACTAGATGGAGATAAGATTTCACAGGTACAAAGCCCATCCCTGAAATCAGAGTTATTATTAATCTTGTGCGTTCAGCATGAGGTCAACATTATTATTTTAAATACAACTTTAGTAAGTGTACTTGATTTGAATAGACAGGACTGAATTGCATTAGGCTGGAGATAAAAGCAATCCCTTTGTGAAGCTCTGTGGCAAGGTGAGCACCTCCTGGGATTGACACTGTATGCAAGAACAATATTGATCATACAGAACCTAAGTTGTTTGTTTTCTGTTGCAGGTACTGTAATTTAAAAAAAAGTCCTTCATTCATGTTAACAGAATTAAAATAAAATATTCCTAATTAATTTTAAATTCACTAAGAGTAGAAGATCAAAACAAGATGTAAATAATACCCTATATATATATTATTTAAGTTACTTCAGTACTAGATGCAGTCATTCCTGCTGCTACTTTGAAGCCAAAGATTCTAAGTGCTTTGGACAAAACAAATAGTATTCAAAACCCCAAATCCTGATTCAGGATTGCTATTGCTGTTGGAATTGCAAGGACTGCTGCAGGTTGCAGGAGGCAAAATTTTGTTTAATGAAAACTCCTTCCTCAAATTGAAAAGTATAAATAAATAAAGCATCAGGGATTTTCCTACACAATTATTACTGAATGTGTCACCCATGGTGACTCTGTCCCATGACTGAGGAAGTGCAAACCAGTGCCTCAGTCCAACAAAGCAAATTCCATTATAATCTGCTCTATCCCTTACTGTTTTGAGCAGCAAACACGAATATTCATCTGCCATGTGTTGAGGGAATTGTTTTAAACAGCCCAGTCCTCTCTCCCTCCCAGACAGAGTGCTGAGTACAAAAGCTCCCAGGTGAAGAGTGCCCTCAACAGCACCAGGTCTCTGTTTGGGCAGATTTGGAGCTTCCACACTAATTCCCTCTGCCAGCACAGCTTCAGGTACTGCTCCATTAGTATTGACAACAGACTATATTAGAGTTTCATTTCACAAACAGAATTACAACACAACTGAAGAAAAAATCCAACTGTACAGCTATACAAGTCCTTCTTACAGGCATTTGAAATGACACATTGCACTAGGCAGCTTCTAAAGCAGCAGTATTGCCTGACTGCTGCTTCACTCAGCCTGCTGCTTCCCTGTCCCCTCGCAGGTAACATCAGTAGTAACTTCAGGTGTAAAGTTACTAAAGAGCTGCTTTCAGGATAAATTTAGCAAGACTCCATGCTGCTGCTCTTCTCTATGAATTGATAAAACTTTATCTAACCAAGCTGCAAAGGCGCAAGATATCTGTTCGTGTTTAGAAAGCTGGATGAGTGGAATGCTCAGGATGTGCTGCTCTTTGTGCTGAATTCCAGCACTCTCTTGAACGGGGTGTACGTCCTCACCGGCCTCGGGCTCTCAGGAGGTCTGTTCTCAGTGCTTGTGCTGCTCAGGAGACAAGAGAAAGCTTACACAGTTAAGGTCAGAGTATCACACAGCTGGGCCCTTAATGCCATGGCAATGAACTTGTGCCCTGGTGTTGATATTGACAGGCTAAAATTAAACTTATCAGTGCATTTGGTATGTTCCATATTTCTTTTCTATAATGCCACAAAGAGTATTTGATAAAAACTGCAGCAGATACTGACACATTTACAGGCTGGCACTTGCTGATGCTCACAGTAGAATGCCCAGCAATAAAGTTATTAGGACTAAGAGTCCTGCAACAAAAAAAGATAGTGATACTGCATTTAAGAACACAATTAACCATTAAGAGTAATTCCATGAAATCTGAACTGCACTGAGGTGCATTCCTGCAGAGAGGTAAATCTCAAAAAGAGGAAAAATACCAGATAAGTAGGGGCTGTTTTTACATACAGAGGGGCCTGAGAGAGGGCAACAAAGATAGGTTTCTGCTGACAACCTGAGCAAAAAACCACTATTTAAGGTTCCAAAACACATGCCATTAAAATATGCTCCAGGCTGAACTCCAAAATGGGTGTATTTCTAAACTAAGAAGAAAATTTTAGTTTGCTTGCTGATTTCATATGCTAATTTACATTCCTCAAACTAAACTATTCCATTTGCAGGGCGGTTACAATGAACAAGTTTATTTGGTGGTAATAAAAGTAATGTGAAGTGGGCCTCCTTATTTTACTGGTTTGTTTCCTGTTTTGCCCTTCCCTGTGGGGACTTGCAGGGAATCCTGAAGTGTGAGTGGCACTGACAAAGTGGTTTACTGATACAGCACTGATAAGGGACATTATGAGGCAAACAAGCAGAAAAAGTCAATACCTGTATGGAAGATCACATTCTACACCAGTATCTCTGGTTTCTATATTGGTCTTTGGTTGGTTTTCCATTAAGTAGTCCAGTTTATCTTGTAATTCTTTATTCTGGGAAACAGTAATTTTCATCACACATTTATTTTATTTATAGTAAATAAACACGAAAATGAAATTGCACATTGCCCCCTCCCTACAAGAAACAGTGTAAAAGTATGTATTGAGAAAATAAATGAATCCTTAATTCTAGAAAGAATATAAGTTAAACCAACGGTTTTATTCAGAAGCTTCTGGTTTAAGTCATTATAAAACCATTATAAAATTGTAAGTTAGGAAACTTAGCTTGAATATTGAGACTTTATTATATACATTCCTGACTGTATGACTGGTGTCATAAGTTTAATTTCCATTTGAAGAACAGCAAATACAAATAGTAATTATGCATCCAGATAGGACTGGATGACATTGGTTCAAATTTAATTTGGTTTGAGAAAATAATCACAATAATGTAAACTTAAAAGATAATGCCTTACCTCACATTCTAAGAAAGAGATTTTGTCTAAAAGCTGTATTATAAATAATTCCTTTTCTTTTACTTTCTTCCTTAGCATTTCAATCTATGAAGAAAAACAAAGACATTTAGTCTGATGGGGATGGAAAAAGGAAAAAAATGGTCTAGGTATCCCAGGAAGAAAACGTGTTTAATATTATTGTTCAGAAACAACTGAATACCTGTAACTATTCACAAACTGTTTTAATCCCTGGATTAGCTACCAAATTTAGTGGACTTTTACTAAAGTGAATTCATTTTGCAGAACAGCTAAACTGATATCAAGGAACATTCAGAACACATTTTTTTTCTGGCAGTCACTGTAAGAATTCCCATTTCTGAATACTTTGGCAAAATTTTCCATGCATTCTCACCAGTCACGTTTTAATTCTGTATATTAATATCAAAGCTGTGAACAAACACTAATATCCCCTTCAAAACCACCAGTGTAAAATTTTTCAGCATATCTGGACACAGTGACTAACAGAAATATTCCCATCATGCTAAAAGAGAAAAATAAAATACTCAAGGCACAATAATGAAAACAACAGCAGTATTACCACCCTCCCAAAAATTTACTGCTAGAAACTATAAAACATTTAAACAAAAATATACAGAACAATGAAAAAAAATGAAGCAAAACAAATACATATATTGAACTGAAAAGGAAAAGTTATAACATGAACTGAAATTTAATTTAGTTTCTGTGACTTTCAGGTATCACATGTCACTGACACAATGATCAGTTGTTACTTGGAAAAGCTAAAACATAAACTCCATACAGTGTTTTCAGCTGAACAGATACAGAATACAGGAGTGCTATCATCATCCATCTTTCTCAAAATCAGGTATTTCCTTTTTTTCCTTTTTTAAAGTCCATGTAAAAACTACCCATGTCATCTAAAACTATTATCATTTCAGTTTTCAACTCACAGAAATACAAAGCATTTTCAGAAAATCTTTGAACATACCTTGGTCTTCATATTTAATTCAACTTTGTTTAACAGTATGACTGAATTAAGTCAGTTATGTCTTCCCTGGTTCAATAGTTTCAGTCCTGCCAATAAACTCTACTTCAGAAAAGATAAACTGTTCTCTTAGGACTTTCAAGTGGATCTTTTCTATTAATATTCTGTTCTCCTACTATGCATATAAAGAAATAATACTAACACCAATAATCAGTGCCACATAAAGAAGCCCAAAGCCAAGCACAGCTGTGTGAACACACTGCCACACAGCCATTCTTGCTTGTTATGAAAATAATCAACTCCATCAGCTGCCTAGGTTGGTTTTTACATCAAACACAAAATATTTCTGTTACTAAATAAGTGATCAAATTATCTGTCATTCAAAAGCAAGACCAAACTCTTGTGTTTCACAGGCATTTAACTTAACTTATATTCATTCTATGATAGAAAGATCCTAAGACATGAAAGAAACTGACACTAACCATTATGTTCACCAGTGTCATCTACAAATAGATTTTGTGTAAGTTAAAATTAAAGTTCTGCTTATTTTTCACATTGGCTTCAGAAAGACAGCTCCCTACAGGTGTTTCTGAGTTATTTTAATTAGAATAGTCTGAAAGCAAAGATGAGCATGGACACCTTAAAATCTAACAGAAAACACAAAAAGGAAGACTTTGACAAACAGCTTCCTCCCCTTCCCAAACGCAGAACTCCAAAACGACATTTTGTATTTTGGTGAGGATGCTCTAGGGAGCAGCAGCCTGCAGGATACAGAACAGTACCTCCAGACTCACTGTAACATGTTTACATAGTACCAGTCAGAACCCATGAAAACCTTGCCCCAGAGTTTGACCAGATCTTTAAAGTCTGCCTTCTGTTCTGCAGAGAATACAGTACTGTATCGTCACGGTCTAGCAGTCAAACAGAATGGTGTGGTTAGACCATGCAGGTTACAGAATGATCAGGCTGTGAATTGTGTAACCTATAAAAAACCTTTTGGTGGATCTTTAAACATTAGGAATTCACACACAGCCATACACCCTAAATACATTTCAGGAGAGATAAATGCAGCAGTGAGGCTGCATTTGAGGTGCTAAAATGAGAGGCTGTTTCAGCACCAGGAAAAATGTATGTCCTGCAGTCCTGCCCCTTGGATGCAGCACAGCACCCTGTGAGGCCACTGCAGAAGGAAAGCAGGGGCAGAAAGCAGGGCAGAACAGGAATGCTCACCCCCAGACACACAGCCAAACAGCTGCCTCAGCAGCTACTGCAGTCCAAGGGCTGAAACAAGTGGCCTGACACAGGTGACAAATCCCAGCACAGTAATTTACTATAAAATATATAGTAATTTACTATAAAATGTACTGAATAAGGACTTGAGTACACATCATCTTATACCATTAACACCAGGAATGAAAAACCTGATTTGATTAATTCTTGAAAGGGTATGCCACAGGAAACCAGGAAAAACAGGAATACTCTAAGATAAATTATATTAATATATTACTATATTAGATTTTTAAAACCCCAAAACCCACAAATGCACATTTTAAGAGTGTCTTTGTTTCTAGAAGCTGTGTAAAGCAAGAAAACAACTAGCAGGTGACAAAGCAATAGATTTTGACTTTGGGTTGAATACAAGGTAAGGAGGAGAAAAGGAGAAGCAAGATGGGTCAAACACAATACTCAACTCCAGGCCCCAATGGTGGCCAGAATAGTCCGGTTGGAATGGTCAGAAACAAATCAGTGCAAGCTAAAGACTCTCAAATTCCATGGACTGACCCTTGTATCCAAGTAATTCCTGGACTGACTCCAGGATAAAATTATCATCAAGATGCTCCTGTGTTTTCTTTGGTGAATGCCCATGGCCTATAATCCACCTCCATGCTTGCTGTGTCTGCAGACCTCAGAATTTCTGCTCACTGAACTCAGCAACTTGCTCCCAAACCTGACTTTTGCACAACTACCCTCCCAGATGTCTTCATAATTTTCTACAAGCACTATTCAGGTACATCCTTCAGGCTCTCTCTTCCAACCTTCTCCAGAAATGTCCAGACAGACTTTCCCTAGCACTTAGTTCTTGACCTGACTTACATTGTTAAGACTCCACATTTCTACGTGTATTTCTATAACCTTCATGTCTACATTAAGCACTCAAACCAAACTGGCAACTTACTTAGAAATATCAGTTACATTAATGACCTACTCATTCATTCCTTTCAAAACAGTTCAGCTAACGTTAATAATGTGACTTTAGCAACCCTGGGCCACACAGTCACCCTTCTTCCTACCACTTCATTCTCTCTTACTTCCCCCAACCCTCTGTTATCCATTGTTTCTGCTTTCCCTTCTCCAGCTGGGAGACATCTGACTATTCCAAAACTGGGGAGAGAAAAGCTACAAGGCCCAAGCTCCAGTTTGTAATTTATCTGGTGTGCCAGCAACCAAGGGGCATCACAAGCTCTCAGCCCTTCAGCCACCTCACCTCAATCCCTGGCATTTCTCTGCTGGGCAGAGAAAGGGCACCTAATCTCTCCCCACCCTGGCACAATCCATGAAGTTCCCTGCCAGTGGTGCAGGGTGTGCAGCTTGCATTTCACATACCCACTGCAATTTGTAATGATCTGAATCAGCACATAAGGTCCAACACGGAATGTGAATCATGCTGAATTATCCACTGACTCAGGATTCATTTGGTCACGCACTTCTTTTTAAAATCTCTCATCCTTGTTTCTGCCCTACTGCTGTTACCACCTCTAAGCTTTTGCTTCCTTCCGAAACCTCAGGGTCATTTCTCAAACTGCCTCAATCTTCAGATTGTCACTTTATCTTGCTCCATCTCCCAGAAAATTCAATTTTTCTTGTCCATCCCATCGGTGAAGATCTCTTTCGTTTTCACTGCTGCACCTTATAGATTCTCCAAACACCAAACAATTGTCACGGTACTTGGCTGTGTAAATACTTGCCAGGAGGAGCTGCACTTCTGACTTTCTCCTGCACCACCAAACTAAACATTGCTTCCCTAAGATGGAAAGTGAGGTGTAAGAGTCAACAGCATTAAACTGATCTCATGGACACAATTCCTAAGAAAAGCAGTCAAGAGGAGAATTGGAGATTTCAAGACCTAAAAGGAAGACTCTCTAAAGAAATGCTGGAGATGTGACTAATGGTATTAGAATGAAAAGTCAACAGGATTACAAAGCTATTAAAGCAGAAGGAAAAAGCATCTTCAGAGAAAACTAAAATTGTATTTAAATGTAGAGCCTTTATAAAGAAAGCCTGAAATAGGAAACTTTATTTTATTCTATGTAACTCAGACACAGATTTGGAGGCATTAAACTATACAGTGATCTCCTGGATTGGAACAGATCCAGCTATTAGGTAAACTCAGTCATCATTTACCACTTAACAGTATCATCCATTAGTTTAAAATATTTACCAGAACATAGTTTTAACATATTTAAGTATCATATTATTCAAGTATACTTATATTTTCCTTATTCATCTACCATTAATGCACTAGGCTTAAGTAACACTGATACAGAGACATGAACAAACTGGTCAGAAATATGACTACACAGAACAAACAGATGCTACACAGTATGCACAAAACAAGACAGACAAGACATTGCAACATCAGCCTGAGCTCCCAGAGGTAATTGCTGTACAAGGAGAACAGGATTTTCCTCAGTCCTGTATTTCACTGGACCTTAACTGGTCTTTATGAGAGACTAGACAAGAGTTGAAACTTTTTCAGGGAACATAGTACAGTGAATAGGAATGAGCACCCTTGCTTTTTAATCCTCCTTAAATCATGTGAGCAACTTATTCATACTTTTTGTATTTTAAAACTTGCATTGCATTTGCAGAAAAAGTAACAACTGACTGATTTAAGTTAATGCACCAACATAGAGACCTTCCTAAATGAATGAGCTCTATGAACACATTATCCAGTGGTTGATGTCCATGTATTGCTAAAGCAGGGGTTGACATGTCCTAATGAGTTACAGACACTGGCTCATTGTCTGCACATCAACCCACCTCGTTAAGCAGTACCTTAGTAATGGGCAAGTTTCTAATTAATGACTTGGCCTGGCAA